TGAGACTACCGGTACCGGTTTCTATTTCGTTCCTGAAACCATCGATACCGGTTTCTATTTCGTTCCTGAAACCATCGATACCGGTTTCTATTTCGTTCCTGAAACCATCTATACCGGTTTCCACGCCGTTTCCTGATCGATACTGGGTTTCTATTTCGTTCTTTGGTTTAACGGTACTGGTTTTCTACTTCGTCCCTTTCTTTTCTTTTTCGTTTCTGAGACTACCGGTACTGGTTTCTATTTCATTCCTGGGATTACCGGTACTGGTTTCTATTTCGTTCGGTACTGGTTTCTGTTCGTTTTTCTATTTGCGGTACTGGTTCTATTTCGTTGCTGGTTTTATATTGGTTTCTATTCCGTTTCTGAGGCTACCGGTACTGGTTTCTACGGTACTGGTTTCTATTCGTTCCTGGGGTTTTATATTGGTTTCTATTTCGTTTCTGAGGCTACCGTTGCTGGGATTAGCTGTACTGGTTTCTATTTCGCTTCTGGGATTACCGGTACTGGTTTCTACTCCGCCCCTGAAACTTCCGAAATTCCCTTTACAATAGAAGGCCTTGATGATACGGGTCGAGGTCGTATTAACGAGGTCGCCGTTTTATTGTGCATTCCGTCATCCTGAAGTCCATTGCATCTGTATTTCAGTATTTCCTGCTGACCTCTTGACCTTTAGGAAGTACGGGAACTCCTGAGGTCAAGGTAGGCATCATTTTTTTAGTCTTGTTTGTTTACCTGTGTCGTGAATCAGCTGTTCCTAACGTGGATTTTGTCTGTTTTTTATTTATTTATTTATTTGTTTATTTATTTTAGTAGGTTCAGGATTCTAATTCGCCAGAGGTTTCTAATTCGTTGGTAAAATATGTTGATTCTGGTTTTTATTTTGAGTTACGGCCAAGATACAGTTATATTACGTAGTAGAACCATATGATTCGTAAACAGCGGGTTTAAGTGTCCTCATACCATGGAGGAATAAATCTATATATCTATTACCAGATTTTATTTTGTGAGTTTTGCTTTTGAAACGTTTCGTAAAAGTGCGGGTAGGACAAACGGTCACATCCAACGCTAAGAACGGGTTTAACTTTTCTTCTTTTCTTAAATCTATTATCGAGTTTCTGTGTCCTCATACCATGAAGGAATAAATCTATATATCTATCAGGAGATTTTATTGAAAGAGGTTGCGGGCAGAACAAAAAGTCACACCTAACTCAAAGACCTTTTTTTTTTTTTTTTTACTTTTCTCTTTTCTTAAACCTATTACCGGGTTTCTGTATCCTCATACCATGAAGGAATAAATCAATATGTCTATCAGCTGATTTTACTGAAGGAGGTTGCGGGCAGAACAAAAAAGTAACAGTCACAACTCAAGAACGTTTTTTTTTTAACTCTTCGCTTTTCTTAAATCTAATATCGAGTTTCCTATTTCTATGAAGGAATAAATCTACATATCTATCAGCTGATTTTACTGAAGGAGTTGCGCGCAGAACAAAAGTCTAACTCAAAGAACGTTTTTTTTAACTCTTCGCTTTTCTTAAATCTAATATCGGGTTTCCTATTTCTATGAAGGAATAAATCTACAAAATCTAAGAACGGGTTTAACTTTTCGCTCTTCCTAAACCTAATATCGAGTTTCTGTATCCTCATACCATGAAGGAATAAATCTATATATCTATCAGCATTTTACTGAAGGAGGTTTCGCGCAGAACAAAAAGTCACACCTAACTCAAAGAACGTTTTTTTAACTCTTCGCTTTTCTTAAATCTAATATCGTTTCCTATTTCTATGAAGGAATAAATCTACATATCTATCAGCTGATTTTACTGAAGGGGGTTTCGCGCAGAACAAAAAAGATTGTCCTCATACCATGAAGGAATAAATCTATATATCTATCAGCAGATTTTACTGAAGGAAGTTCAGAACAAAAAGTCACACCCAACTACAAGAACTGTTTGAACTTTCCGCTTTTCTCAAATCTAATACTCTTTCTCATAATTTTATTAGTCACATTTCTTAGGATAAACTGAACGAGCTGTGGTGGTAATACAACGCTAGGATAAGATAATCTCCTTGGCTTTTAGTACTTTTAATAGCATATATCATATACTTTTAATACTTTTAATAGCATAAATCATAGACTTTTAATACTTTTGATAGCATATAAGGCTACACTTGATACTCACGGGCTGTTTACATTATTACTGTACTATATAAGAAAGATGAAGAAATTTTTCCGAGTTTATAACCTAAAAAGGCTTAATATTTGGTTATGTAATACCTGATTAGAGATGTATAAATGATAGAAAGGATACATTCATGAATAAAATGAATGAAAGAATGAATACACACACATGCATATATATATATATATATTATATATATATATATATATATATATATATGTATTATGTATGTATATATATATATATATATATGTATATATATGTATATATATATATATATATATATATATATATATATATATATATATATATATGTACTATATATATATATATATATATATATATATATATATATATATATATATATATACTATATATATATATATATTA